TGCCTCGCGTTGTAGCAGTGACGGGGTTTTGCAGTGCCCCACGCAGGGCCCCTTCGTGAGGCCTCTCTCCGCAGACGGCCGGCCTGTTCAGCAGCTCGGGAGCGGGCCGTTAGCACGCAGTCCTTGTCCAGACACAGCAGAACAGGAACCGTGGCCAGGAGTTGGTGCCTGAGTTTGGGATGAGGGAGGCTTCTTTCTGCCTCTTCTCTGAGAGAGAAGAAACTGTCCTATAGTTCATTTCTACAGAGACCCCAGTTCCCTGATGTGCTGTGCAAGTTGTAGTTAAGTGTGGCTAATCTGTTGTGGTGCTAGAAGTTTGGCTTGTGCATTACGATTCCAGGAATATGGAGTGCTCACAGCTCAGGTCTGAAGTATCATGTGCAATACAAACACTCAAGTTTGCTTTCAGTCAGCCATAGAAATGTAGTGATCTGGCTGAAAAATTGTTGCTTGTGTTTTCCTGGATGTAATTTTTGTTGTCCGCTTGATTAGCTATAGAAAACTTGCTCTGTATTTTTTTTGTTACTGTTATGTGTCTCTTCATTTGGTTTTAAATGTTTGTTTCTTCCCATTGTAGTACGAAATTAATCTGCTGGAACTGATCAAGAAAAGAAGAGCAGTAAGTTTGTCAAATATTTAGAGTGCAAAATACTTTATGCCAGCTTTTCTGTTGTAATAAAATTAATACTTTTTTTTCTCCAGCGTATTGGATATTCATTTAAGAAGGATGAAATTGAGAAATCCATACTGCATAGAGTCCACAGCCTCTTCAACCGTGCTATAGGAAAATGGAAAGTAAGTTTGTTTCTTTCGTGTGTATTGTTGCATTGGAAAATACCCTTTTGCTATGTTATGATGTAAAAATTAATCCAGCTATCACTGCCACCAAATATTTGCAATAACAAGAATGTAAAAGAAAAACTAAGTTGACATTTGGTCTTACGGTTAGCAATAGCCTAGAAGTAGATCATTCGTATCAGATGTTTTTTGTACACAAACAATATTGTATCCTTTCTGAGTCATTAGTCCTCAACTATCTTGAGAGAAGTATTCCCATGTAAGTTTGGTCTGTCTGTTTGCATGGGCTAGAAACAGAATGAAAAGAACTTTCAGGTGCTTTGGGGAAAGATTGTTGTGGTACATCTAATGGCAAAGCTTAAATGAGGTGCCTCAGGAACCATGACAGTGACCTCTCTGAGTTCACTGTGACACAGGTTTAATTGGAGAAGCTGTGAGAGTGTGTCTTGAAGTGGGAGGGTGTTTTTTTTCCAACCTTTTGCAGGAATTTGAAGAAGGGGGTGGGGGGGGGAGTTTGAGATTCAAAATTCTACACGTCAAGTTGTTGTACCAAGGGTGTATTGTTTGCTTGTCAATGTGCAAGTGATTTTGTGCTTGCGTTATTGTAAGGGTGATTCTCTTCCCCTTGCATTTCCAACAGGAAGATGTCCAGCTTTGGCTTTCACATGTTGCTTTTTGCAAGCAGTGGGTGAGTTTTCAAAATGCTAACCTTAACCTGATTCAAGATGCTGGATTGGTGTGTAATCAGGCATTGGGAACCTGAATTACAAGACAAGGGTGCAAACTTAACTGGCACATGCTGTAATACTGTAATAATGTTGATAGTATTATTGCAGCTGCCTGGGATTTTCACTGATGTATGCAAATGTAGAATTTGAGTCAGAATGAATTAATGTGAAATTTGGTGCTTGTAGGTGGCAAAGGCAAGGCTGATTGTGTTGAATCTGGAGTCCCATTTGGCTTGGGAGAATCGTAATACTGGTTATACCTTCTCTAGAATGAATGGTTCACCTGTCTGTGAAATGTGATTTTGTTCCAAATGTTTCTTACAGTGGCTATGCTGAAAAGTATAGTTGTGCCAATTCTCTACCTCATGAACTTAGCTGTGCAAGTTTTTACATTGTTATTAGAGTTCAGTCATTGTCCTTCCTCTACTGAAGAAGGTGATCTTGTTACAGTAATGCAAATAGGCAAAGAAAAATGCAGTCTTTACCTCAAAAGCGGTCATTGAGGCTGGGTTTGAGATTTAGGCAACATTTCTGTTAGCTGTGTAATCTGTTAGCTAACTCAATCAGAAAGGATTGAGTTAACTATGCTAATCATAGAGTAGTTCGGGTTGGGAGGGACCTTTAAAGGCCATTTAGTCCACCCCCGTGCAGTAAGCAGGGACATATCCAACTGGATCAGGTTGCTCAGAGCCTCGTCCAACCTGACCTTGAATGTTTCCAGCGATTGGGCATCAACCACCTCTCTGGGCACCCTGTGCCAGTGCCTCACCACCCTCACTGTAAGAAATTTTTTCCTTATATCTAGTCTAAACGTACCCTCTTCCAGTTTAAAGCCACTACTCCTTGTCCTGTCACGGCATGGCCTTGTAACAGGTCCCTCTCCAGCTTTCTTGCAGGCCCCTTCAGGTACTGGCAGACTGCTCTAAGGTCTCCCCGCAGCCTTCTCTTCTCCAGGCTGAACAGCACCAGCTCTCTCAGCCTTTCCTCATAGGAGAGGTGCTCTAGCCCTCAGATCATTTTTGTGGTCCTCCCTCTGGCCCTCCTTCAGCAGGTCCAGATCTGTCCTGTGCGGAGGGCTCCAGAGCTGGATGCAGGACTCCTGGGGGGTCTCACCAGAGCGGAGCAGAGGGGCAGAATCCCCTCCCTCCCCACGCTGCTTTTGGTGCAGCCCAGGATATGGTTGGCCTTCTGGGTTGCGAGCGTATATTGTTGGCTCGTAATCTAGTCTGGTAACATTTTAAAGCTGGTCAATATTGAACCAATATGAGAAACTTTCTACTGAAGATGAAATAGCAGAGAAATAACTTTTCCAGTACAACTGCGTTACAGCTTGTAACTCTGCATAAAGAAACTTTGGTGCTAGTGATACAAGTCAGTACTAGAGTTGGTAAAACAGAACTTCTTTTACAGAATGCAAAACATCAACTTAGTAAGGTGTTTTCTTCCATGTTGGCCATTCATCCTAATAAACCAGGTACGTAAAATAATGGTGAGTGCTGCATAAATGACTGAGTGGATTGTATAGTGTTGGTTTAAGTTCTTACAGATCTCAGTTCAAGGTATTGGGGTAAAAGTTCCTACTCTCTTTTCTTTGCCTTGCTGCTGCTTTAGAGAGAAGGGCTCTGACAGGGATTGTGCTGAGCAAGCAAAAGGTGTTGTGAAGGAGGAGTCCCCACGGTCTGAAGCACCGTTTCCCAGGTAGCCTGGGGACCAGGGAAATGTTTCAGACGTAGGAGATGTTGAATACTCATGGCTGCTTTTTGGCTTTGGAAGATGTCATGGTACATCATTGGATCTGTAGTTATACCAGATTAAACTCCTTGGATCTACTTAGCTTTTAGTCCTCTAGCTCTGGTTTACATGGGATGTAATCATTCTTATTCCATTGCTGAGCTCATGGATTATGTTGGGGTGGGTATATCAAACAAAAACAACCTCTGCATCCTGGTGAGTAGCTTCAGAATGGATTTTCATGATCAGCCAATTGCTTTGCCTTCAGATGAATTTATTTGTAACATCTGTTGCAGAACTTTGGATCATGGCAGCAAAATGGGAAATGGAGACACAACTCTCGTCAGAAAGTGCTAGGCACTTGTTCCTTCGTGCTTTGCGCTTCCATCCAGAGTGCCCAAAACTTTATCAAGAAGTGAGTTCCTGATTTTCTTCTATGACTATTTATTTGGTGAGTCAGAGCAGATCAGTCCAGCATATTTCTCAGATCAGTCTGAAAAAACTGAAAAAAAACTTGTTTCCCAACCAGTGGGAAATTTGGTCAAAAAGATTAAAAAAACAACCCAAAAACCAAACAACAAAAACTTGGTACTGGTAGCATTTTTTAGTTGTTTCACAAATCCTGTGTTTATGTACACAGAGAATTTTACACTGTTTATAGATAAATGTGTTAGAGTTCCCTTTTAAAGTACGGTAAGTTCTGCTGGGACATAGTTCTCTGGGTTAGGTCTGGCATCCCTAGCCTGTGCTAGGGTTTAAAGAATGACTAGAAAGTGGTAATTTCTATGTGTGGGAGATTTCTGAGTCAGTATGTAGGGCAGATAGCTATATGCACAAACCTTTAAAACCTGAGGCTCTTAGACGTGGGTGGGATGTTGGCAAAGTCCGGATATGTAGCTCCTCAGAGCATTTGTGGACTTGGATGTTTTATGGTTTATCCCCACCCCAGAATCACTTCATTTTATTCTCTCTCTTGCAGTATTTCAGAATGGAGCTGATGCATGCTGAAAAACAGAGGAGGGAAAAGAAGGAATTTGAACGAGCAAAAATGGACTTGGTAGGTCAGCTAAACTAACTTAAGAGATACTGTCTGCTCGCGTATCACGCATTTGAACGTGTAGTTTCAAGGGATCTGTATTAATGGTTTGTTTGAGAACAGCTTAGAGAAAGCTTTTGTTCGTATCCTGTGCCTGTGTTAAGCTTTTCAAGTGTTGGCTGATGCTCAGCTCAAATACTTCATATGTAGATTTTTCTTTAGATTTGTAAAGTGTTTTGTTACATTCCCCAGTTTGAAAGCTAATAGTAATTTCTGGAAAGGAATAGTTAAACTTAATGTCTCTTACTTCTTTATATCTGACTTGTGCAAATTGGATAAAGACAGATGAAGAAAAACATTAGCATCATCTGATGTTTTTTTCTATGTTTGCAAAAACGGTAGCTGAGAGAGGAAAACAATTTATTTGGTGATGTTATGCTTGATATTGCAGCGGGAATTCAATTATTCTGAAGAGATTCTCGGTGGGGAAATGGCTCGCATAATCTACAGGGAAGCTGCTCAGAAAATTAAAGGTGATTTAACGTTTCTTGTGCTTATTCAATAGGAAAATTGTCGCCTGTAACTCAGCTCTCCAGTAGGTCATACAGATAGACTTAGGTCCAGTGTACACACTAACATACTTTCAGCTATACCATTTCTTCAGTAGAACCTAGATAATGCCAAAGTACAAAGTAATAGTGCTGGTAGTTCTGATTTCGTAACTGTTCTGCAGGCTGACACATCTTCCAGTACAACAGCTTTTGGGATGAAGTGGCATAGGTGCTGGGCTTAGTGTCAAGACGTGTTTGTTTAAAAAAACAAAGGGAGGACAGTTCAGAATTGCACACCTTTTTTGCTTTGTTGTTCAGTAATCAGCTAGCACTAGGGACAGAGAAGTAAGATCAGACTAATGATAAGACAGGTTAGATGATTGGTAAAATCCACCCATTTTATTGAGTTGGGTAAAATATTGGAACACTGAGATTTATGAAAAAGAAAAGAGTATCTGTCTAGGCACTTAAATGTTATCTGTGTCTTGACAAAAGCTTACAAAGATACAGACATGCAAAGCGTGCAATGGGTGTAATACTTCACTTGGTAGCTTTTTTCCTCCTCTTGAAATGTAGGTGTTGAGTTCCATCTGGCTGTGCTTTCTATTGCAAACCTCTTTGATTTTACCCAAGATTTGCAAAAAGAAATTCTTGAAAGGTAAGGTATAGCTTTGTTGTTTTTTTTATTTTGTTTTGTTTTTTAAAAAAAAATCTCATAACTTCTGTGGTTTATAATGGGTTGACAGGTTAACAACTAAAGGCTGTTCTTCTAGGGGAGTAGAATGTTAAGGCCTATGGGAAATCCTTTCAGAAAAACAAAACATGGGGCAAGCATGCTCTTTAGAAAAGGATACTTGTATCTAACTTCAGAAAAGGCTTTGAGAAGCTGCTTAGAAAAATTTAGGTAAAATACAGTTGTTGCTGAATAATTACTACGCTTAGTTTCCATAAATTTACTGCAGGAACTGTGGATTTTCCTAGTGTACTTTGTGGTTCTTTTGCATCTTTAGTTTCTGCAGTTGTTCCTCTCTCGAAAGAAAGCTCTCTCTCGAAAGCTTCCTGTCTATTTTGTGCTATTACTGGAGAATATCCATATTAAATAAAAAACCTTAATAGGCTAATATTTTGTCTTGTGGAAAGGTAAAATGTGTTTTCTCTGGCATTCGGTTACTCAGAAACTAAGTAATGTACCAATATAACAACGCTTCTAAACATACCTGCCAAATGGTAGTTGTGGGGTGTTACAGACATGGTGCGTTCAGTTTGCAGACGAAGTATGCTGACAGCCCTCTTATGTGGGACTACATGGCCCGTCGTGAGCTGGAGCTGGGGTCCCTGCAGTCCACAGAACACACCACGAAACAGATGAAAGTGTCTGAAATGACCCAGAGAGAGGAACGGTGCTGCGCGGTCTTTGAAGAGGCTGTGAGAGCAGTTGCAACAGGTGAAATATTCTGCTGCATTTTAACATTTTTTCCTGGTATTTAGCATACTGTATACTGTGAAAGGTTCAAAGTAGGTGTTGGCAGGCTCTACCATACCTGACAGAGGGCAAGCAGTTTTTAGATGCCACCTTTTATGGATCTTTATTATGTGTTATTTGGATTATTTTCCAATGCATTCATGCTGTCAAAGGAGCTGCTTAGAATCATAGAATGGTAAGGGTTGGAAGGGACCTTAGAGATCATCTGGGTCTAACCCCCCTGTCATGAGCAGGGACATCTTCCACCAGACCAGGTTGCTCAGAGCTCCATCCAACCTGGCCTTGAGCCCTGCCAGGGAGGGTGCAGCCACAGCTTCTCTGGGCAAC